CATAGCTGGACTCCATGCCAGCGACCTGCACAGAGAGACGCCGACGGCAGTAGTACATGGCGGCAGTTACCTGCAGTTGAGACAGCAAGGAGGACGACATCTTCTTCTTCTTAGTCTCGCCCTCCATCTCTTCTTCCTCCTCCTTCCAGAGAGAGAGAGAGATAGAGGGGTTACAGGCAGTGGTTACATCGGGCCATGAGGCCCATGATCTGATTCGACATTTTGTGGCAGACATTGATTGGACATTTGGCAGGGAGGCTATATTTGGACTTCGCTATCGCGATCTTGGTCTTCTCCCTCACCTCCATCTTCGTCTCGCCTCTTCCCCATCTCCTCGTTCGTGATATCTCCCGCTCAAGGAGGGACCTTTCTTCCATGTATGCGGTCCCTCCCCTCTCTCACATGTGTGGTGTATGACGCGGTGTAGCGTCAGTATCTGACAAGTCAGGTCATATCTTTGAGTCTTCTGTTGCACTACATTATGCTATTTTTGTATGTATCTGGATGTACATTGCTTGTTGATGCTTTGCTGACGCCGCATTGTCCAGTCGAGTCCTTTTCATTACTTTGGATCCTTGGCTCCATATACATCTTGACTGGGCATGTATCATAGGCCCAGTGCACCACCATAGAGAGGCCGGCTAGAGGTAGGAAGTGCTCAGCCAAGAGGTACTGGAGGCCGCTCAGCAAGGCTATGGCGCAATGATCGGTCCTCTCATTTCACCTTGCAATCGTGATGCTGAGCCGCCCAGAGGGAGACGTTGGCGGGGCACTTGGAGGAGATGATGAAGCTTGAAGGTGGAGGTAGACCTCCGTGACTATGGAGTATTGGCGGGGAGAGATAGTAGAAGCCCTAGGCTATGGAGGTAGAGGAAGAAGACCTCCTAGCCATACTTTGGAGATGACGTGAGGTTGGAGGAGAGAGAAGGTGGGAACCGGCAAGGAGACTTACCTTTGGCTATGATGGACCTACGTCTTTGTCTTCCTGGCTAGCGCTGTTGGGGTACTGGTTGGACGTGGGCTTCATTTGGACGACAGGCATGGCGATAGTGAGAGGAGAGGGCATGAGATTCGTCCTGTTGTCCTTGGAGGGGTAAAGGACAATTTGTTGAGGTCTGGCAGTAAGGGGAATCATTAAGACATTGATTTCTGTTCATTCATACCTACACTACTACAATCCCTAACGTGACAAATCTGAAATCCAGGTCGTCGTCGGTCCTACCGGCCCACAGCCCAGATCGACCGAACCATGTAACAAATCTGCCATCTGGGCCGTCGGGTCCTACCGGATCGACGGGCCGTATCAGTGCGCGATCTTAAGATCTTAAGATCGCGCATCAATCCAGGGCGTTGGCCTGGTACCTAGGCCCGATGGCCCGGATTATTTGCCTGTTGGAGAGGGCCGCGGTACCTACTAGTGGTTTCCTGGCGCGGTACCTACCAGTACATTATGCTACTTTTGTATGTATCTGGATGTACATTGCTTGTTGATGCTTTGCTGACGCCGCATTGTCTAGTCGAGTCCTTTTCATCACTTTGGATCCTTGGCTCCATATACATCTTGACTGAGCATGTATCATCGGCCCAGTGCACCATAGGGAGGCCGGCTAGAGGTAGGAAGTGCTCAACCAAGAGGTACTGGAGGCCGCTCAGCAAGGCTATGGGGCAATGATCAGTCCTCTCATTTCACCAAGCAATCGTGATGCTGAGCCGCCCAGAGGGAGACGTTGGCGGGGAGACTTTGGCGGGGCACTTGGAGGAGATGATGAAGCTTGAAGGTGGTGGTAGACCTCTGTGACTATGGAGTATTGGCGGGGAGAGATAGCAGAAGCCCTAGGCTATGGAGGAAGAGGAAGAAGACCTCCTAGCCATACTTTGGAGATGAAGTGAGGTTGGAGGAGAGAGAAGGTGGGAACCGGCAAGGAGACTTACGTTTGGCTATGATGGACCTACGTCTTTGTCTTCCTGGCTAGCGCTGTTGGGGTACTGGTTGGACGTGGGCTTCATTTTGACGACATGCATGGCGATAGTGAGAGGAGAGGCATTAGATTCGCCCTGTTGTCCTTGGAGGGGTAAAGGACAACTTGTCGAGGTCTGGCAGTAAGGGGAATCATTAAGACATTGATTTATGTTCATTCATACCTACACTACTAAAATCGCTAACGTGATAAATCTGAAATCCAGGCCGTCGTCGGTCCTATCGGCCCACAACACAAATCGACCGAACCATGTAACAAATCTGCCATCTGGGCCGTCGGGTCCTATCGGATCGACATGCCGTATCAGTGCGCGATCTTAAGATCTTAAGATCGCACATCAATCCAGGGCGTTGGCCTGGTACCTTGGCCCAATGGCCCGGATTATTTGCCTGTTGGAGAGGGCCGCGGTACCTACCGGTGGTTTCGTGGCGCGGTACCTACCAGTGGGGTTTTGTGTTCGGGCAAACGGGTTTCCATAGGCTGCCCGTGATGTAACTACTTTTTCGTGGCGGCGTGTATTGTTTTTGGGTGGCGGCGGGCCTTTTTGGTGGCGGCAACCCACCCCTATGCTACTTCACTCTGTACTATAGACTTCTACTTTCCTATCCTATGGTACTACACACACACACACGACATCCGGGCAGACCATCGAGGTTCAACCTCTTGATGAGTCGGTGGAAGTTCGACGAAACAGCCTCACTTAGTCATGCCCACGCACACAGTCGAGAGAGAGAGAGAGAGAGAGAGAGAGAGAGAGAGAGAGAGAGAGAGAGAGAGAGAGAGAGAGAGAGA